GAGAGGTCTGCTGTGCCATGTGGATTGCTTCCAGGCTGGCCGGGGATCGAACTCGTGCTGCAGTGGCTGTGGATAGCTTCATAAGTTGTGTCTTAACCCTTGTGCCCCCCAAATCTTAGTTTGTGGGTGCTAATATTGCACTGTTAAAAGAATCAAGTAGAAGCAGGTCATGTTTGGGCCTCCCTGGTGGTGCAAGAGGTTAAGACGCAACCTAAGAAGCTATCTGCAGCCACTGCAGCATGAGTTTGATCCCCGGCCAGGGAACAACCAACATGGTGCAGTAGACCTTTCCAGACTTGCCCACTGCTCCCCTAAGCAGTGTATTTTGGTCAGTCTGCCTGTTCTGTTCCCTACTCTGTCTCTGGTGAATCCTCATCCCTCACACCTCTGGCCTGTACCCCAGTTCTTGTATGGATAAATAAATAATTTTTTTTTTAAAAAAAAGCAGGTCATGTTTGAATGAACAGTGATAATATGTCTTGAAGGAAAGGATTGTAATCTAATACCTAAATAGGGTCTTCAGAATTCTTCTGAGTTTGAAATCTTGACCCCCAACAATTTGCTATGTGATTTTAGGCAAATAACATTTCTTTTCTTCTCTTGCCTCGCCTGTAAAATAAACATAATGCCTATACCATAGGATTATTTAACTATTAAATAGGTTAATATGTATGCAGGTACAGAGTAAGCTCTATATAAGTGTGCCTTTGTTTTGATTATCTAATGCTATGTAATAAACCACCCAAAAATGTAATGAGTGAAAACAACACCACCACTAACCATTCTGTAGACTGAGATGATCTTCTCAATTGTGGTCTGTCCTGCAGTAGTCAGGTGACAGGTTGGGCTAGAATAGCCAAGATGTGTGGCCCCTGATGGCCAGAAAGCTTAGCTAAACTGGACAATTGATCCTTTCCATATATTCTTTCTGCATGGTTTCCAGGTAGAGTAGACAGAAAGCAAGGGCTTTCACAAGCATAAAATTTGAAGCTGCCAGACCTGGGATTGGCACATTATCACTTCTGCTGCATTCTGTTGATTAACATATGTCACAGTACCAGTTGGGGGATATGGTTCATTGGGTGTCCTTTTTGTAACCATCCTGTTATTTCTGGCCATCAAGCACTCTATATGTATATAATTGTCAGTTTAGGCACTGGGGTGTATTATTGATCAGTTAATGCAAGCCCCTGTCTATATTTGCATCTGTATTTTACTTGATAATTAAAAATGTGTGGTGTGTTATTTGGTAACAAGGACCATGAAGAAAAACAAAGCAAGGAAAGAGATAGGAAAGATTGTGGTTTGGGAGTTGCAGTTTTAAAAATGGGTGGTCATGAAGGTTTCCTTTCTAAACTGATACTTGAGCAAATACAAAAAAGAGGAAGTTAGGAGTTAGAGGGCCAGGGGTGGGAGCTAAAACCTTTAGGAGGCTAATGCAGTTAAGAGATGGTGTAGTGCCAGCAGGCACAGAGCAGGATCTCCATGACCAGGGCACAAAAGTAAAGGAGAGTCCTGGAGCCCTTGGTGCCTTTTCAGGCTTTTATTGGGATTTCACCAGGTACACAGCAGGTGGGATGGCAGGGGGCGGGGGGGGGGGGGGGGGGGGGCAGGAAGCTGGCAGGCCTTCTAGCCCCTAGCGAATCATCACTCTTTCTGGGCTCTCTGGTGTTCTCTCGTGGTCTAGTTCTCTCTCTTCTGTTTCTCTTTATGCTCTCTCACTCGTTCCCCTTCTGGTGTTCTACTGGCCTCCTAGTGACACCGCCCTTAAAAGCCCAGTCTCAGCCCAGGTGTACCTACCTCCGTATGCCCACACATGCATTCAGGACCGCAGGGATCCATCGTTAACTCTACAGGAAGACTACGCAACTTGTAGGTTTGGGGAGATCAGGATTGGTTTTTTATTTATAAGGTTTGAAATGTCAGTCGAATGCTCCTTCCACCCTCTATGAGATGTGGCTTATTCATAAATTTCACTGATTGTTTATTGTCAACTTTGTGAGAAAAAGGTGTGAAGGTAACTTTGTTAGGGACCTGGAGGCTTTGCAGAGGTTCTGACTCATTGTAAAAGAATTTAACGAGGGCCTCCCTGGTGGTGCAGGGGTTAAGACGCACCCTATGAAGCTGTCCACAGCTACTGCAGCACGAGTTCGATCCCCAGCAGGGAGCTACCCACATGGAGCAGCAGAACTCTCCTGTCTTGCCCGCTACTCCCCTCAGCAGTGTACTTCGGTCAGTGTACTTCGGATAGGTTCCCCACTCTATCTCTGGTGAATCCTCTTATCCCCTGTATCTCTGGCAGGTACCCCAGTTCTTATATGCATAAATAAATAAATTTTTAAAAAAGCAGTAAATATAAGTATGTTTAAAAAAAAGGAATTTAACGAGACCACACACTATAATCCAGACAAGGCTATGGTAGACTTAAGCTTGAACACAAGGAAGCGGTGCTGAAAAGGGACCCTTCCAGGCTGACTCTACAAAGGGAGCTAGGGGGTGGTGAGAGGATTCACCAGAGACAGAGTGGAGAGCAGAACAGGCGAATTGACTGAAATACACTGCTGAGGGGAGCAGCGGACGAGACAGGAGAGAGAGGTCTGCCATGCCATATGGGTCAGCTCCCTGGCTGGGGATTGAACTTGTGCTGCAGTAGCTGCTGATAGCTTCATAGTGCTGATGCTTAACCCCTTGTGCCATAAGGGAGGCCCCTAGGGAAGGATTTTTGAAGGATTTTTGAAGGATCTAATCAGGGTGGACTGCACTGAAGCATGTGCAGAGGGTAAGTTTCAACTGAATGTTGGGCAATTCCATGTGTAAGGAAGTGATACTCAGGCTTTTACGTCTCTAGCCCCTGTGGCTATCTCCTGCGGCCTTGAATGCAGGAAGTGCTTGGGAGCTGGCATCAGGGTACACATGCCTGATGGTGGACACCTGGAGTATGGTGTGGGCCTGTGTAAGTGGGCACACCTGAGCTTGGAGGCTGAGGCTATAAGGGCAGTGTCAAACAGAAAATGGCTGTGCTGGAGAACGTTGAGAAGATGAGCGACGGCTGCTAAAGGAAGAGACCATGAGATGACACCAGAGAGAGCCCAGAGAGAGTAAAGATTTGCGGGGGACTGGGAGGCCTGCCAGCCTCACTCTGTGCATGGCTGCTGGCATTGCAGTGGGTTCCACACTTCATATATCACATGTCACTTTAGCATCTTAAATCTCCAACCAGGGCCGCACTATGAGACCTTGGTCACTCTAGGTCAGGTTTTTCCATCATCTGTATGGCCAGGGCCCTCGGCCGTCCCCTCTTTCCAGGAACTTGTGAAACAGTCATTTGTCAGGATATTGCACCATTTGTCTCAATGCGTCACCTGTCGTCAGTCTAGTGGCAGAGGTTATGTAAACAAGATGTTAGGCCATGACCTGCCACCTCGAGATTTAGTCCACTTGTTTAAACTGAATGTTGGGCGATTCCATGTAGGCTTGAAGTGTTTGTTTTTATACATTTCAGAAAGGACAGGTTTATCAGGAAAAGGTGAAAGAGGCACCAGCATAGTTACAGGCGGACAGGAAAGATGCTGTCAGCTCGAAATGTCGCACTTTTATATTGTCTCAACTCTGTAGCTCTTTTTCTGGAGAAAAGTTAGAAGTGAAAATTTTAATTAAATCTTACCCTTTCAATTCATGCTCTCTCTTCCCTTGATCATATATGTCTGATGTGGTTTTTGTAGAGTGCGGGGTCCTTGGGTTCACTCTGGGGAGAGGTATCCCCAGAGCTCCCGTTTCAGCGGCACGCGGCGAGTTCCCCAGGCGAGTTTCTCCACGAGATAGAGACGGTAGCTATATTTGAAGAATAGGTTTATTAGGGAAAGGGAAAGGGACAGGTTTGCTCTAAGAGGCCTGCATGGTTGCAGGCGGGCGGCCTTGAGGAGAGTGGCCTCCGCTGAGGTCAGTGAAGAGACGTCCCGGCATGGAACAGGTCACTGTTAGCCAGAAAGCTGCTGCCCTGCGGAGGGTGAGAGTTGGTGAAAAGAAGCACCTGCATCGTCACAGGTGGGCAGTGGGAGTGCTGCCCCGAGCCTGTGAGGAGACTGCACTGATATAGTCCTCTTCTCTTTGGGAGGGGTCACTGCTCCGTGGAGTAGCCTGCTTGTTGCTGATGTTGGGTAACAGGCAAAACTAGAAAGGGACCAGAGATTCCAGGGTGGGCCCACTCTCCATATCTTTATCCTCAGGCCTGTGCTCTACTCCCTGTAGCATCTGATCCTGCTTGGGTCTCCTGCCTTGTGATTAGACACTGGAGCCTAAGAGTCCAACCTCTATAGCTGGGTTAATGATCATGTTATTCCCCTCGACCCCCACCTCCTTGTGTGAGTCAGGTTTTAGTCTCCTTAGGCCTCCCTCCAGTCTTTCTATTCTTGTCCTCCATCATGTCCACCTTGGTTTAACCCGTTTTGTATTTAGTTCCTATACTCTTTGGGGTTGGCGTATTTTGAAAACTGCTTTGTCTCATGCTATTTTGACTCTCCCTTACCTGTGGTCCCTTGCGGGGACGTGCTCCAACTTGTTGCAGAGGTTTTCCTTGCCAGCCTCTTGGAATCTTAAATCTATTAATCCTGTTAATTACCCAGTTCTGCATATCTCTTCCAGGGGGTGCTCTTGAGTATTATCTAAGAGGGGAGGAATAATGAAAACCCATCTGATCTCCACTGGGGTGATAATGATTGTAAATTTGACTTTCAGGGCAAACAGTTTACTCATTATCACCGGTGTGGGGGCTGGAGCATGCCCGAACCTGTTTCTGTTTCAGGCTTCACCTGAAGGCAGCATAGGTGGTTCTTATTCTTAATTGTGTGCTTGTGGTTCTTGCAGAATCAGGCAGTGTCAAGAACTTCATCATGGGTGTATTACATTGTGTGGGTGCCCTGATACATTTTTTACTATAACTGCACAGTGGAATGCCAAAGAGAGAATTTTTATTTTAGAAAACATAATTCTTTTCTTTTTAGACTTATTAGCAAACTGCAAATTCTTCACTGCCAAAATGACATCATTTCCCACCTCTGCCCAGTGTTCAAATTCTGACAGTGCTTGCAGGATCTCTCCAAAACAAGTTAATCAGGTAAATCATTTTTAGGCATTTCTATTTTCCTTTAAGTTTTTAAAAATTGAAATGGGGCATGTAACTAAAAATCTTGACTGACTCTAGGATTTTTATGCAGAGCCGAAATGATTATTTTTTAAAATGTCATGCTAGGAAAAGAGTAAACAGTATCAACATCCATAAATTTGAATTGGTCACTGATGAAATATTTGGAGGTTATGGATTGCTCAGTAGTACCTTTTGAAAATTAGCATATTTTAGGGTATGGGTGACTAGTGGAGAATCTGAGGCTGTTAAATTAGTTTCCTGTTTTCGTTACTTCGCTGTTTTTTAATCAGTTTTAATTATAAGTATGTTAGGGGGAAAGTCCCTTTTAAGTGCGCAGGTGAGGACCCACAGTCAGGCAACCCGTTTTATATCAGGGCTGCTCCGTAACAAGTATAGCAAATGTATTCTAAAAAATTACTCTATTTTATCGTGTATTTGTCTGTACATAAAGATTCCTTTGACCACCTCCTCCCTAACTCCAGAGTCCCTTCTCCTTTATCTAACATTGATATTAATTTGGTGTGTCTTGTTCCACACCTTTTTCTCCAACATACAGAAATACATAATTTTGTTACATGTTTTCATGAACGTTGCACAATGGGTAGTATTGTGTGTCTTAATCTATGGTAAAGGTAGAATTTGGATTTGAAGAGGGTAATATGTGTCTTATATAAAAAATGGTTTTGACATAAGTCTGTTATGAATAATGCTGCTGTGAACATTGGTGTACAGTTGTTTACATACCTGCTTTCAGTTCTTTTGGATGTAAAACTGGGAGGACCTGCTGGGTCATATGGAAATTGTATGTTTAGCTTCTTGAGGAATTGCCACAATTTTCCAGAGCCATTTTACATTCCCACCAACTTAGAGCATAAGTTCTCTCAATCCTCACATCTTTACCCGTATAGCCATCCTAGTGATTTTTCAGTAAGGTAACAAGTAGTAATTCTGATCATTGGCAGTTAGCTTATGCACTGGAAGATTGGGCATTAATAGATAAGTATCTACTAGGGTTTGTTGAAAAAGGTTTTAAAAGATTTCTTGCTCTGTAGGGCTTCAGAATTCAATCTAATTGAAATGTAAATGGGTTTATTTTTTATTTATATCAGGTACGACCAAAATTGCCACTTTTGAAGATTTTGCAGGCAGCAGGTGCACAAGGTGAAATGTTCACTGTTAAAGAGGTAAGCCATTGTGGAAAGGTTTCAGTTTTAAAAGAGCTGAGCAGTAGAAGCTAGTGAGTATGTGGTTCTGAGATCAAGCCTCAGAAAGGAAGTTCTACTCCAGGAGTTCTATGGAAGCATTTTTTTCTTCTTTTAAAGCCCATTGAGCAAAGTTGAACTTCATATTTCCTTTAAATTTCCTTTTGAAGTATACTGTCAGCTAAGCAAGATTAACCATGAAGTTCATTGATCTCAAGAGTTAAAATGCAGAACATGTACAAGATTTAAAAAATGACACTGTGATTTAGAGGATGTGCTGCCAGGCAGGGATTAAATGCAGTGTTTTTTCATTATAAATGTGTCAAATACTCTTCTGAGCACTGTGAATTATTTTAAACATTTATGCATTTAAATAACTTATTTAGCTCCTAAGGTTTTTTTTTTTTTTTTTTAACAAAAAACAAATGGAATCCTTTAAGTGGAAAAGACTGCATATTAAAATGTTAAACTTTATCAATTGCTTGCATTTATTTAATAGAGTAAATATCTAACCCTTCCCAAATATACCAGGGTTTTTTTGGACTTTCCCTAAAAGTCTTAACAGCTTTCAGTAATGCTGCATTCCTGAGCCATTATGCCTCTTAAAGAAACAAAACTGGAGGCATTTCAGATTTTATAGAGTACTCATATTGCCTTCATCATTTTGAAGTAAGTGTGCCATTTTGGACTGTATATCTCAAATTCTGATGAGTAAGGCTTTTTCCAAACTTGTTAAAACTTATAAAGTTGTTAAAATCAATTATGCTATTTTCCTTCATAACATGACATAATGTTTTACTGGAGAAAAACCTGGACACAGTCTGTTTCTATCATGAGAGCTGACTGCATAAAGGGAATTTCCCAATTTAAAAACTTTACTGGTTTTTAGTATGTGTATTCAGGCAGGTATGATATAAGAATAGTGTATTATATACATATTAGAATAGTGTTTTAGATGATCTTTGTATCCTTAAAGGGTATTTATTTTTTTCTGAACGCGAGACAGACATAAAGTTTCCTCCCTTTTCTTCCAGTAGATGCTCTTCCCCATCCGGTTTTTTCTAGGTAATTGATGAGTGTTGTATTTTCACTGACATATGTTGTCTGAGATGGAGGGGACCCTAGAAATACTGTTCCAATATAATGGGACCAGTGTTAGAAAAACTTCTGTTCAAATATCTAAAATTCCTGAGAAGTTGGGACCTAAAGATAATTGCTGCCTTGGTCTTCAGTTAAAGATAATTGCTGCTTTAGGGGCCTTCCTGGTGGCACAAGGGGTTAAACACCACACTATGAAGCAGTCTGCAGCTTCTGCAGCACAAGTTCGATCCCCAGCCGGCCAGGGAGCAACCCACATGGCGCAGCAGACCTCCCCTATCTCGCTGTTCCCCTCAGCACTCTGCCTGTTCTGTTTGGTCAGTCTGCCTGTTCTGTTCCCCACTCTGTCTCTGGTGAATCCTCTCACTCCCTGGCATTTCTGGCTTATACCCCAGCTATTCTATGCATAAATAAATAATTTTTTTAAAAAAAAGCTAATTGCTGCTTTATACTGCTGATGGCATATTGAACATTGTACTTTATTTCCCCCACTCCCCCATTGAAATGAACACATATCAAATGCATATGGTTTTATGCCCTTGGACTTGGAAAATATTTTTCTGATCAAGCAAATTTAAAGTTACTACTTCTATTTAGACTTGGGAGAAAATTTTTGAGGGAATGCTGGGTGAAATTCACCACATTTTTTCTTGTCAGACCAGTACACTTCTGTTCTAGAAAGTAATGGTTTGTTCTCTGGAATTTCATTAGGACTAAACCCCCACTCCAAAAAATACTACAAGGAATCCTAAAGCCAGAACCTCAGAAGGATGAATAACAAAGAAAGAAGGCCAAAAAAAAAAAAAAGTTATTAAAAGAATAAATAAAATCAAAGGAAAGACAAACACAATGGCAAATACAAATGCTAACATATCGATATTATCTCTAAATGTAAATGGACTAAACTCTTCAATAAAAAGACACAGAGTTGCAGCCTGGATTAAGAAACAAACCCAACCTTTTGCTGTCTCCAGGAAACACATTTAGCTACAAAAGTTAAAAATAGGCTCAAAGTTAAAGGATGGAAAACAATCCTACAAGCAAATGGACCAAAAAAGAAAGCAGGAACAGCTATACTTATATCAGATAAAACAGACTTCAAACTCAAAAAAATAAAAAGAGACCCCAATGGTCACTACATCATGATCAAGGGGACAATACTTCAAGAAGAAATAACACTCATTAACATATACTCACCAAACGAAGGAGCACCAAAATATATCAGATAACTGTTGTCCTCTCTGAAAACAGACATCAGAGAAAACACATACGTCGTGGGAGACTTCAACACACCACTATCAACAATGCATAGATCAACAAGACAAAAAATAAGTAAAGAAACTAAAGCTCTAAATAAGGACCTAGAGCATTTGGGCTTAACAGACATCTATAGAACACTAAACCCCAAAAAAACGGAGTACACATTTTTCTCAAGCGCACATGGATCATTCTCCAGGATCGATCACATACTGGGGCACAAGACAAACATCAACAGATACACCAAGATTGAAATCATATCAACCATCTTTTCTGACCATGAAGGCATCAAACTAGAAATAAACCATAAAAAGAAGGCAAGGAACTTTCCTACCTCATGGAGATTAAAAACCACACTACTGGAAGACCACTGGACTAATGAGGAGATCAAAGAAGAAATTAAAAAATTCTTTGAATTGAATGACAAGGAGGACACCAATATCCTTAATGTATGGGATGCAGCAAAAGCAGTAATAAGAGGAAAATATATAGCAATAGAAGCTCACATCAAGAAACAAGAAAGAAGTCAAAGAAACAACCTAATCTCAAAGCTCAAAGATCTAGAAAAAGAACAACAAAAAAACCCCAAAACCAGTAGAAGAAAAGAAATAATAAAAACCAAAGCAGAAATAAATGAAATTGAATCTAAACAAACAATCCAAAAGATCAATGAAACCAAGAGCTGGTTCTTTGAAAAAAATCAATAAAATAGACAAACCCCTAGCCAGGCTCACAAAGGAAAAAAGGGAGAAAGCACAAATAAACAGGATCACAAATGAAAGAGGAGAAATCACAACGGACACAGCAGAAATCAAAAGAATAATCAGTAACTACTATGAACAGTTATATGGAAACAAGTTCAACAATCTAGAGGAGATGGACAAATTCCTACAACTCTACAATCACCCAAAGCTAGATAAAGAAGAAATAGAAAACCTAAACAGACCAATTACAATTAGCGAAATTGAAATGGTAATCAAAAACCTCCCCAAAACAAAAGCCCAGGACCTGATGGATTTACAAATGAATTCTACCAAACATTCAGAGATGAATTAGTGCCTATCTTTCACAAACTCTTTCAAAAAATTGAGAAGGAAGGGACAATACCAAACACGTTCTATGAAGCCAACATTACACTAATACCAAAACCAAACAAGGACAACACAAAAAAGGAAAACTACAGGCCAATCTCCCTAATGGACACTGATGCAAAAATCCTCAATAAAATTTTAGCTATCAGAATCCAACAATGTGTCCATAAGATAATTCACCACGACCAAGTAGGATTCATTCCAGGGACACAAGGATGGTTCAACATCCGAAAATCAATCAACGTTATCCAACACATCAACAAAAAGAAATATAAAAACCATGTGATAATATCAATAGATGCTGAGAAAGCTTTTGACAAAGTGCAACACCCATTCATGATAAAAGCCCTTGAAATTCTTGGGATACAAGGAACATACCTCAACATCATAAAGGCTATTTATGACAAGCCAACAGCCAGTATCATTCTCAATGGTGAAAAGCTGAAAGCAATTCCATTAAGATCTGGAACAAGACAAGGATGTCCACTCTCACCACTGCTCTTCAATATAATACTGGAAGCCCTAGCCAGAGCAATAAGACAAGAGAAAGACATCCAAGGAATCCAAATAGGAAAAGAAGAAGTCAAACTATCACTGTTTGCAGATGATATGATAATATACATAGAGAACCCCAAAAACTCCACAGAAAAACTAATTCAACTCATCAATCAGTTCAGTAAAGTGGCAGGATACAAAATCAACACGCAAAAGTCAGTAGCCTTCCTATACACAAACAATAAATCTGAAGAAGAAGAAATCAAAAAAAACATCCCTTTTACTATTGAAACAAAAAAAATCAAATATTTGGGAATAAATCTAACAAAAGAGGTAAAGGACCTATACAAAGAAAACTATAAAACACTGTTAAAAGAAATAGAAGAAGACACAATGAAATGGAAAGACATCCCCTGCTCATGGATTGGAAGAATAAACATTATTAAAATGGCCATCCTACCAAAAGCAATCTACAGATTCAATGCTATTCCAATCAAAATTTCAATGTAATTCTTCAAAGAAATAGAACAGTTATTGATGAAATTCATATGGGATCACAAAAAACCCCGAATAGCCAAAGCTCTCCTGAAAAAAAAAAAAAGGGAATGGAGGCATCACACTCCCAGACTTCAAACTCTACTACAAAGCCATAATCATCAAAACTGCATGGTATTGGAACAAGAACAGACACACAGACCAATGGAATCGAATAGAAAATCCAGAAATGAACCCACAGATTTATGGTCAACTAATCTTTGACAAAGGAGCAAAGACTATGCATTGGAGCAAAGAAAGTTTGTTCAATAAATGGTGCCGGGAAAACTGGGTCGCTACATGCAAAAGAATGAAGCTTGACCACTACCTCACACCATACACAAAAATCAACTCAAAATGGATTAAAGAACTAGACATAAAACCTGAAACCATAAAATATATAGAAGGAAATATAGGCGAAACACTACGTGATTTGCACATCAAAGACATCTTTACAGACACATCACCCAAAGCAGTGACAGTGAAGGCAAAGATAAACAGCTGGGACTACATCAAATTAAAGAGCTTCTGTACAGCAAAAGAGACAATAACAAAAACAAAGAGAAACCCACCAACTGGGAGAACATTTTTGCACACAACACTAATGATAAAGGATTGATCAAAAAAAATCTACGAAAAGCTGATGAGACTCAACAACAACAAAGAAAATAATCCAGTCCAAAAATGGGCAGAAGAGCTAAAATGAAACTTCTCTGAAGAGGTAATGCAAATAGCCAACAATTATATGAATAAATGTTCAACATCCCTTGTAATCAGGGAAATGTAAATAAAAACTACCATGAGATACCATCTTACACCAGTGAGAATGGCACATATTAAAAAAATTAGCAACAACAAGTGTTGGCGAGGGTGTGGAGAAAAAGGAACTCTTCTGCACTGTTGGTGGGAGTGCAAACTGGTCCAACCACTATGGAGAGCTGTGTGGAGATTTCTGGACCTACTAAACATAGAGCTTCCATAGGATCCAGCAATTCCACTCCTAGGTATTTACCCAAAGGACACAGAAACATCAATTCCAAAGAGCACCTGCACCCCTATGTTTATAGCAGCACTGTTTACAATAGCTAAGCTTTGGAAACAGCCCCAATGCCCAAAAATAGATGACTGGATTAAGAAGATGTGGTACATATATACCATGGAATATTACTCATCATTCAAAAAAGATAAACACATGCCATTTGCAGCAACATGGATGGCGCTGGAAGGGATCATGCTCAGTGAAATAAGCCAAAAAGAAAAAGAAAAAGACCGGATGGTCTCACTCATAACAGGAATCTAGAAAACTTAAATAAGGGACCAGAAAAATGAATAACTATAAGAAAGCGAAAATCAAAATCAACAAAAAACTATGAACCAGAGACACTTTTGGGGGGGTGAGGGGCGGGAGGGGAGGGATTGGGGTCAGAATGGGTGGTTGCAATTGTATGGGGAATATAAAAATAAAATTTATTATTTAAAAAAAAAAAGAAAGAAAGTAATGGTTTGTTAATGTCCAGAATGATAATAAATGAATGAGTCTAGTTGGGGGCAGCTCTCTTGCTGTAGGACACTTTACACAGCACCGCCATGCATGTGTGTTTTAGGCAGCAGCTGGACAGGTTTCTTCATGGTATTTTATTCCCATGCAGGTCTTGCAATATCTTGGCAAGTATATAATGGCGAAGCAGCTCTATGATCAGCAGGAACAGCACATGGTATACTGTGGTGGGGATCTTTTGGGAGAACTACTTGGACGTCAGAGTTTCTCCGTGAGAGAGCCAAGGTAAGAAGATTGAGGGTTTATCTTTTTGGGCATTTATACCTCACCACTTAATCTCTTTAGGTTATAATGGTAATGACTATTTATTTCTCTGGTCAACAAATATTTAAGAGCCTACATCTGTCAGGTGGCCTCTAAGACACTGAGAATATAACAGTGAGCAACAGTTTCTCATTTTAAGGGTCTTAAAAGAGTTGTATGAGACAGGAGATGCTCTCCTCCTTATCATTCTATTGCTTTCCAAGCTATACTATGAACAATGTTTCAGAAAGAAGGTACATTTTGTGGGGTGGAATATAGGGTTTTTTAGGGGGTAGAAGTGCTGGTTGAGGAAGTGCTGTTTGTGCTGATAGCTGAAGGGTAGTTAAAGTGTCAGTTACGGGGAATGGTTGAAGGAGAACTTTAGGTAGATTGAGCATCACATGTATGTGTCTGGGTAGGAGGGAATTTGATGTGACTAGATTATAATTTTGTGAAATAGTTGTAGAGAAGGGAAGAGTGAATTGATGAAAGAAATGTAGACTTGCTGGGCACTTTGAGGTTGATGAAGAGCTTCCTGAGAATCACAGTAGAACTACTCTGACCAGCTGTGTGACTTTCTCCAGGTGCATAGGGTATGTGGTTATTAACACAGTGACAAGGTAATTAATAATTGAGAATCCAGTCTTCTCTTTCACTCTATAGCTTTGTGATGACTGTTTCTTCTCAGCTCCTTTTGTCTTATTTTGGTAGACTCCCTTCCACTCCCAGTCCCAATTATAATGTAAAACTTAAGTCCTAGAAGGAAGGGATTGTCTTGTAAGGAAATCTCCCTACTTGTGTTACTGTTGTTATTAATAAAATTAAATGTAAATTAGTTTTTTAATGGTCACAAAATAATACAAGGGCTTGGGCATTACATCTTGATATTTAAATAATTCTTAGATTCTGAGAAATCTATTCTGTGGAAAACACAGAATACATACATTATAGGGAAAGTTGGGAAATAGCATATCAGAAATATACTTAAAATTTTAATGGAGAGCCATATTCACTTTTTTTTTTAATTTCTCACAGCCCACTCTATGATATGCTAAGAAAGAATCTTGTCACTTTAGCCACCACTACTACAGGTACGTCGCATCATATTTCTTTATTCTGTGTCACAGCTTTGAGTTCAAGGGGGCAAATGATGGGAAAGCAGAGCAGGACCAAGATGGGCATGGAAGGCCATCAGGGCGCGACTGGGAGGGATGGCTTGTGCAGTTGGTTACTGCTGTGTTATTTAACTTTCCAGTTAATGCTGAAAATAGATTAGTATCATTAGTACCCTCCTTTTAGACTTAGTGATTGTTAACATTTTGCCATATTTGCTTCACCTATACATACTTTTAAAATCCACCATTACTGTAACATTATTACATGCAACAAAATTAATAATGATAAATAACTCCATAATACTGTCCAATAGCCATTTTATGTATAGTTTCTCTCAGTTTCCTCAGAAACATCTTTTACATTTGAGTTGTTTAAATCCAGATTTAAACAAATTTCTTATGTTGCATTTGGCTGACATGTCTTTTAAGTATCTTTTATCTCTAAAACTTAACCCTCCTTTTGTTTTTGTATCATTTATTGAAGAAATGGATTATTTTTTCTTTAGAATTTCCAGCATTTTAGAGTTTGTAGATCGTACCCTTGTGGTGATGTTTTATGTGTTTAGCACTTCTCTTTTGAATGACAACTTGTCTAACCTTTTGCTTGATTCCATACTTTTAAGTACTGCCTTTTGAGTTTAACTTACTAGGTATTGCAGGAAACTGCTTTTGGGTCTGAAGTGCAGTGTATTAGAGATCAGTGAATAAAGTGGACATGACTAAATTGTAACTATCTCACACTTATTTCCAAGTAATGAAACTTTTTGTTTTCCTGTTCCTACATGAAACCCTTGTATGGATTTCAAATTAGATTCTCGGGAACATTGTCCTTTGGAGAAAGCCCAAGCTTGTGATCCCTATTGATTGGCTATCTTTCAGTAGTTTCCTGAAACAAATAGGTTGAAAAGAATTGTTCCTAATGAAGATTTATGCTTTAAAGTGAGAGTAAAGAAACTACTTTGATATTGAAATATGATTTTGAACTTACAATGAATTTTGGAACTGCTTAGTTTCATTGACAATCTACCTGTGTTACCCAGTTATAAATTTCTGTTTGAGGGGGAAGGCAATCACTTGTGAAATAGTGTGGTTTACAGGGATTGTCACTAAAAACTTGAAATAAACAGAGGATTTTATATTTGCGCATCTACTCTTTTTCTCAGATTTGTTCTGATCTGTTGTCTGAATATCCAGAGGAGATATAACTCTTACCCTCTCATTTTCTTTCTTTTACTTCATTTGCAGAATTTAACATGCTGTATATTAAAACGAACATTTCTATAACAAGTATTTCAGTTGATCCTCTTAACAACCTTGTGAGAAAGGTCTGGAAATGGAGACACTGAGGATTTTTTTTAATTAGATAAATGGTTTGCTTAAGATCAGCTGCCACTGATGAGTAGTGGTGCATCTGTTTCTGAATGGGCAGTCCTTGCTCTTTTCATCATTCTTTTTTTTTTTTTTAATTATTTATTTATACAAGCACTGGGTACAGTCAGAAGTGCGGGAGGGTGAAAGAATTCACCAGAGCCAGAGCTGGGAACAGAACAGACAGACTGATGAAATACACTGCTGAGGGGAGCAGTGGGCGGGACAGGAGAGGTCTGTCGCGCCATGTGGGACCCTCGCCAGCGGCCGGGGATCTAACCGGCACTGCAGAGGCTGCGGGCAGCTTTGTAGCCCAGCGCTCAACTGCTGCGCCACCAGGGGAGGCCCTCTTTTCATCATTCTTTAATGTCCCTTTAACCTTTTTTTTTTTTTTAAAGATTTGTTTATTTAGGCACAGAAGAATTGGGGTATAGGCCAGATGGGTGGGAGGCGGTGAGAGGATTCATCAGAGATGGAGTGGGGAGCAGAACAGGTGGATCTACTGAAATACATTGCTTAGGGGAGCAGTGGGCAAGACAGGAGAGGTCTGCTGCGCCATGTGGGTAGCTCCCTGGCTGGGGATTGAACTCAGGCCCCAGCAGAGATAGTGCTGAGACTAACCCCTTCGTCACCAGGGAGGCCCCCTAGCTCTTGCTTGTAATGGAAAGAATTTCCCTCAGTTTTCAACACATTTTTTTCATAATGTTAATTCTTCAAAACATTTTGTTATTTAATTTGTCACTTTGAGATAATTTTATTTACAAAAAAGTTGCTAAAAAGTATTATAAAGAGTTGCATATACTCTTTACCCAGATTCCCCAAGTGGTGACATCTTTATATAACCATAGTACAATGATTAAAATTAGGGAATTGCCCCAAAGTAATTTTGATTGATTGTTTGCTCTTACTTGGACGTGCATTGGTTGACATTGCTTCCCATGTCACCTGTTTTACACCATTAAAAAATAAGTTAAAGCTTTTATTTTATGGCTGAAGAAAATGCCATTATTTAAAGTTAAGGTAGTTCTTTATAAAATTATTTCTCTAATTTTTTTTATAATTCTTTATTTTCCACATGTATACTAAAGCAATGAAAAATAAATGGTGAACCTTATATTAATTTAATTAATTAATTAATTTTTTAATAGAGGCATGTTTTATTTATTTGTTTGTTTGTTTGTTTGTTTTGTTTATACATGCACTGGGTACAGTCAGAAGTGCAGGAGGGTGAGAGAATTCACCAGAGCCAGAGCGGGGAGCAGAGCAGGCAGAAGGACTGAAGTACACTGCTGAGTGTACTGCTGAGGGGAGCAGCGGGCGGCAGGAGAGGTCTGCGTGCCATGTGGGACCCTCCTCCGGTGGCCGGGGAGCAGCCGGGGATCGAACCGGCACCGCAGAGGCTGCGGGCAGCTTCACAACCCAGTGCTCAACCACTGCGCCACCGGGAGGCCCAAACCTTATTTTAAAATCCCTTTGTACATTATCTGTTTCACCAGATTTATTTTTGTTTCTAATTGTTTTAACCTAGGAAAGATTGTAAGGCTGTTGAGCTATAAAGGATAAAGCTCCTTGTGGTCAGAAAATCTTGTCTCTCAAACTTCTCAGTATCTATAGCTATGAAAAATGCTTTTAGAAATAATGTTGTCAGTAATTTTGAAAATGTTAACTTTGTGCAAAACAACTGAATTGTCAGACCAGTTGTAGGATCTGTGCGCTTTCTCTGCCTGTCTTTATCCTCCATGAGTGTCTTTCTTCCGAGACTGCAGTTGCTGATGTACCAGCACAGGATAGACTCACTTGGTTGCATCTTGGTTGCACAGAGCTTCATGTAGTGAGTGATCTTTTCCTATACCTAAGTTTTCATCTTTTGTTCTGCTTGAAAATTTTTCAAGTCCTTGAAATATGTTTCTTTTACACTAAGAATATCTATCAGGTTATTGTTACCTCTGCTTCTTTTAATTGACCTTGAGAAAAACTAACTGCCTCCTCTAACTGGGAAAAGTAAATCCTTTTTATTTAAAAAAAATAATCTGCATTCAGGGCCTTCCTGGTGGTTCAATGGATTAAGCACAGTACTAAGAAGCTATCTGCAGCCTCTGCAGCACAAGTTCAATCCCCGGCCAGGGAGCAACCCACATGGTGCAGCAGACCGCTCCTGTCTCACCCGCTACTCCCCTCAGCAGTGTATTTCAGTCAATCCGCCTGTTCTGCCCCCCACTCTGTCTCTGGTGAATCCTCTCACTGCCCCCTCACCTCTGGCCTGTACCCCAGTTCTTGTATGCATAAATAAATAAATCTTTAAAAAAATAATCTGCATTCAGGTGATGGGAATTTAAATTGTGAAATCAACACTTAGAATGTAGGTTTACATGAAGGATGCTATTGTTAAGAAGCATGTGGGGAAAATTCCAGATTTTCAAATCTCACAACCCTGTATAATTTTAACACTTGAAAATAAAAATTAAAAAGTCAAACCTTTTTTTTGTTGTTGTTGTTGTTTATATCTTAGGCACACTTGGTAATAAACACCTTTAGGAAGAGATGATAAAAATACTCTCCATTATTTGCTCCTTGACCTCAGTTCTCATATTAAAATTTGAAAGCTTGTTATGGAAAAAACGTTTTTTAGCCATTTTTCATTTTCCCCAGATAAGATTTTGGGAGTAAATTTTGAAAGTAGTCTGTTTTAGTCTTTGCCATTTTTATTAGTTTTTTCCCTTCTTTTTGGATGAGAGCCTTGTCCAGGCAACGTGGAAAAGTACATTTCTAGGGACCACACCTGGCTCCAGGGTTGTTTGCTGAGGTCCTTTCTCTGTGGAAAGAATGGTTATTACCAGGGAAGGTTTTCCTTTTGTTTCACTTGCTATCCAGATGCTGCTCAGACTCTCGCTCTCGCACAGGATCACAGTATGGATATTCCAGGTCAAGACCAACTGCAGGTAAAATCACCACACGGTGACCTCTTTTGTTGTACAGAGTGGCCCCTTCTCTGTACCTGTGGCTCCTTGGACTCCCAAGTCCTTTCCTGAATGTGGTAAGAATTTAACAAGAAAGGTTCTTGGGAGTTCACAGACCAGGGACAGAGTGAACCTTCTCTGTTCTGCCCATAACAGAGTTCCAGTCTCTGAATCTTTCTTTGGGATGTAGCACTTCTGATCTTCAGTTCTTCCAGTTACATTTTCTTTGGGGTTTATGTGTGCCTGTATGTGTGATGGTGTATGTACAAGGTGTTTGAGAAAACTGCTTCATTAGATTTTAACAAACTTGTTGTAGTTAAGTTCTTGTCAGGCCATTTCTTTGAGCTCCCCAAACCTGGGAAAACTTTATGATTATCTTGGTATATGGTAAAGGCGTCACATGTTTTCTGAATTATGCCTACTTTTGTAATAAGGTATTATATTTATAGCCTGTTTCTAACAGATTTTGGCCTTTTGTGCAGAGATTTTTTCCCCCCAGGTTTGGGATTCTCCTACCTCTGCTGCAGAGGGTTGAGAGGTGTGGCCTTTATTTGATGACTGTTGTGAATTTCAGAATTCTCTTGTGCATAACCCATTGTGTTGCACACTAACTGGTGAGCCAGAGTAGAACTGCTACATCCCCTGGTCTCA